ACGATTCAGCAGTGATTGACAGCTATCAATCAACATTATCAGACTGGATCTGCAATCACCATGATGAGAATCAGGAAGCGTGTGATGATCCAGCATCAATTGACGGCTGTCAATCAAGGAAAGGCTCACCAAACTATATTAACAATGAACAAGAAAAAGAAATGAGGGATTACAGATTAGTACATCCTCTGAGGTTTGAACTACGTGCCTTGACTGTTAGACTGGAAGATATTGCATTTAGATCAGATATTCTGGTTAGAAAGGGCAAGAGGACAAGAGAGTTCAAAGATAAAGATGAAAACAATTCTGGTTCTTGTGAGGAAAACCTTAGCAAGGCAAAGAAAGATCACGTGAAGTTCTCTAAAAAAGGCTTGTCACATGGCCAAGAGGGCGATGGTAACAGACAGGAAGTAAACACGGATTCCACAGTAACTGGCAGCTGTCAATCAAAAGATGATCCGCCAATGTGTATTAATGCTGACAAAGATGAGAGAGAAGATTCTTCAGTCGAAACGTCATTGAATGGCAGCTGTCAATCAAAATGTTTACCAGGTGGTCCTTCCGATGATATGTCAAACTGTATCAACAATAAAGATGACGAGTCTATGATTGACAGCTATCAATTAAGAGACAGGTCATGTGGTCCCTTAGAAGGTAAATCGTCAAACTCTTTTTCAGTAATTGATAGCTGTCAATCAAGTGCGTCACGTGATGTCACAAGGGATGGTAAAAACAGAGAGCATTCAAGCAGCGAGGTGATTGGTTCAGTAATTGATAGCTGTCAATCAAGTGCGTCATGTGTCGTGACAAGGGATGGTAAAAACAGAGAGCATTCGAGCTGCAATGTGGTTGGTTCAGTAATTGATAGCTGTCAATCAAGTGTAACACGTGATCCCTTGAAAGATACATCTAATTGTACAAAGGATGGCCATAACAGAGAGGATTCAACCAACAAGGTGGTTAGTTTAAAGGGTGGAAAGGTTGGTACTTATGCCAAAAAGAAGGATGTGGAAAAGAAAAGTAAATCAAGGCCTGAAATAAAAAGAATAACGCGTGGGACGGCTGCTATCACAGGTAAAAAGAGGAACGGAAATCCTGAAACAGAGTCTTCAGGGCCTCCTAAACTGAGGCAAAAACGTGTTAACAACGTCGCAAAAAAGCCTTATAAATGCTGTTATTGTGATAGAAAATTTCAAGGGAAATCTCATTTTAACTATCACACAAAAACACATACCAATACCAGGCCATTCCAGTGTTCACACTGCGACGAGGCGTTCATCTTAAAAAGTTGTCTCAGGACTCACGAGCTTGTCCATACCGACGAAAAACCATGCAAGTGTTCACACTGCGACGAGGCGTTCATTTTCAAAAGATCTCTCAGGACGCACCAACTTGTTCATACCCGCGAAAAACCATACAAGTGTTCACACTGCGACAAGGCGTTCTTTTTCAAAAGGGCTCTCAGGACGCACCAACTTGTTCATACCGACGAAAAACCACACAAGTGTTCACACTGCGACAAGGCGTTCAAATGGAATAGTAGTCTTAAATTACACCTGGCAGTTCATACCGAAGAAAAACCATTCAAATGTACGGAATGTGATAAGGTATTTATGACAAATCAAGGCATGAAAAAGCATTGTCTTCTAGTTCACACCAATAAAAACCCATACCAGTGCTCGTACTGCCACAAGAGATTTAAAAATATGCATAGATTTGAAGTTCATCGTCGTTCACATACCAACCAAAAGCCCTTCAAGTGCTCGATTTGTGGTAGGAGTTTCCTTCAAAACACTAGTCTGCTTACACAAGAAAAGCCGTACAAATGCCCGCATTGTGAGACTAAGAAAGAAGACCAGATTGCCCATACTAGTACAAAACCATATGAATGCCCACTGATTGGCAAGGCATTGACATCAAAGTGGAAGCTTACTGTTCATCTACGACGATTCGAAGCTAAAAAGGAAATAATAATGCTAGACGAATTGTAGAATGGATATAAGAATAGACCTCCTCGGCTCGGGCGTAATGTTGTCCCATTTTAGACCACGTAACATTCCCTAGAGTATATTTTCTTTCTTTGTACCTATAAATTACGAATTGCACTCGAGATCGTGCGATTTCCTAGACAAATTACAAACGAAAAATTGAGTTTTGGTTTACGTCAATCACAGGGGTTTCTTAAACATGTGTAAAGGATATCGACTTCGAATTTCAAACGCAAAGCTATCGATATTGACTTATGCCAATGTCAAACGTCGAACTTCAAATGAGCCGAACCTTAAGACATCAAAGAAGACCGCCTTATTAACTATTGTTTTAATTAGGTTCGGCTCGTGAAGTTAGACGTTTGACATTGGCATAAGTCAATATCGATAGCTTTGCAGTTAAAGCCTGGTTCACACGAGCAACGCAAACGCAAGCGCAAACGCAAGCAATGTTCACACGTACAACTCAAATGCAAGTAAATTAAGATACGCATGCGCAGTAGTGCTTGTTTATAGTTCACACGTATTTTCCTTTCGTTTACGTTTGCGTTGCTCGTGTGAACCACGTCTTGCGTTTGTGCTTGCGTTTGCGTTTTCTCCGGTTCACACAAAAACGCAAACGCAAGCACAAGAAAATGGAAAATTTTCCATTCCTTGCGTTTGCGTTTGCGTTTGTGTTACTGTAGTTCACACGTAGTTTTCTTGCGTTTGCGTTTGCGTTGCTCGTGTGAACCAGGCTTTAATTTTGAAAAAAATTATCCAGTGAAAAATCCACAGCGACAAGAAAAGCATGAGATAAGAGCAACTGTTTTTGCACGTGTTCACGTGAGTATTCACGTCAGTCTTGGTGTAGAAACCACTAGAAACGATAGAAACCGTTTTGATTGACCTCGACCAAAAACTCAATTTTTTGTTTGTGATGAAGGTCTAGTTTGGTTGCTTGTGACTGGGAATCGCAGTATATTTAGATAAGCCAATTTTGAGCCAACGTTTTTTGAAATATATGTATCCAGTTAAATCCCATTTTATCCCATTTTTTTTCGATTCTAGTTCTAACTGTGAGTTATGACCGTATTTATGACTGTGACAAATGACTGTGAGTTAGTCGTTTGTCAAGGGCCTTGCGTTTGATAACTTTTGTATGTAAATACCTCTTATCCCTCTTGTAAATAATGTCATCATCATGAATTAAACCATATTTTTCTAATGTCGGTATTTAATTAAATTTTGTTCATATTACCATATTTAAGTGTATCGTTCAACCGTATGTAAGAGTACCTTTTTTTTCAAATGACTCTTCAAAAAAACCCTGGATCCGCCATTGATATTTAAGTGTATCCTTGACCGTATTTAAGGGTATCCTTTTTTTCAAATGACCGTATTTAAGAGTATCCTTTATTCAAATGACCGTATTTAAGAGTATCCTTTTTTTCGAATGACCGTATTGTACCGGTTGAAAGGACAAAGCTTATTCTCACTTATGAATATTGTCCTTCTAAGTGGTATTTAAAAAAATATGAGAAAAAAGTTTAAAAATATTGGTGGGATTTCACCAACTTAAAGGGACTCTGAGGTGTCAGACATTCCTTGAAGCCTTTCCTCGTTCGCCACTTCTTCTAGCTCACTGTCCTCGCTCACACTTTCATCGGGTGTATTATATTCTTCTCCTCAAGCAATTTCCGGCTCAAATTGATAAAGAACAGCCATACTTTCATAGCGAAATTTGGTTGATTCAGCTCCAGCTATCCAACATGTTCCACTATCTGACGTCATCACAGCCCAGGCATCCCAAGCCATCAAATCCGCAATATTCCACAGGGAGCCCAGCTTAAGTCATTTCGC